GTGTTGAAAATGGGGATTCTGCTCCCCAGGGCATAAAAAAGAGCTCTCAATACGTGTTTTGTGAGTTCGTTTTCTGTTTCAGAGCTGCAGGAAGTAGGTGGCCCAAGAATGCTTGGGGCAAAGCAAACTGCCAAGTTGTAAGCCGTCATCAGATTGGATAAGGAATTCTGTTTGATGGTGTATAACACTCCAAACAAGTGTTTCAGTAGAACAGCATTGGTTTTTGGAAGCTGGTCTAAAAGGCAGTAAAATGCACTCTTAAAGCAAGTAATTTTACTTAGCAAGTTGCAAATACAGAGAATGGAAACAACAGAGTACTCTTTATGTATACCATTTATACAATGCAATAAATATACAAAATAATGGAAAAAATAAATAAAAATAGAAAAAGAAGCCACCTTCGTTAGTCGAAGTTCTTCGGGGCTCCTGGCCATATTTGCTGTGAAAAAGCCTAGGAGAATAAAAGAAATAAAATTAAAAAGAGCATAATGCAAAAGAAAGAAGAACAAAAAAGAAAGGACAAAAAATAAAAAGCCCAGGAGGGATGTGGGGCTGGAGACCCGCCAGGGCCCCTTGGCATCCGGGGTGTTGACGGCCCAGGCAGAAGACTGCCCAGTGAGCGCCGAGCAAGGGCTGAGGTTGTGGAGTCTGGCCATGGTTGGTGCAGGCACAGGGGACCCCGCAGCCCCACCCTGGTGGAGGCCGAGACGTGAGCCAACTCCAGGCTTCAGAAGGCGCCCAGAAAGTGCTTGATGGCGGCAGCGAGGCAGGCCCCACTCCTCAACCCCCGCCCTGCACCTCCTCGGACCCCCCCTCGCGGGGTGCGCCCCAGGGCTGTTGGTGTCAGGCAGCACAGCCGCGGAGGGGAAGAGCGACCACCCTCGGAAGGATGGCGCTCGGCACAAGCCAGAGGGACAGGGTGGCAGGCGCCAGGAGACAGCCAGGCTGGAGCTGGGCCAGGCCAGAGGCGGAGGAATGGCCTGAGGAGGCGCCCACGAGGAGGCCTGGCCCGAGGAGGCTGACCATGAGGTGGCTGGCCATGAGGAGGCCTGGCACGAGGAGGCTGGCCGCACGGAGACTGACGGCGAGGAGGCCTGGTGCAAGAAACCTGGCCGCACCCTTCCCCCTGGAGCCCCTGCCAGATCCCGTCCCAGGACGGGCTCCTGGTGACCCTTCTCGTTTTAGACTCTCAGACTTTTGGTTCTCCTTTTTAGGCGAGTTCCACACCCATCCAGTTCTGTTTACACAGTTTTAAAATTCTGCCATCACCCTTTAACGTTTATGACCAGGAAGCTTGGGATGTCCCTCTTTCCATCTTGCATGTGCAGTCTCTGCTTTCTGAGGGTGTTCCTCTGGTGACTTGGTGGCACTCCCTTCTCTGTGCTCCTCGCCCGTTCTAACTCCCTCCCCATGTCTGTTTTGGACACTGCTTTTCACGGGACGGCTTGGGCTGTCTTCATTTACGACGGTACGGTGATAAGCACTCGAAGCTTCTCTGTCCCTGAGGAGGGCATCCCCTCTGGTCCTGACTTAAGGAGTGTGACCTTTCTGTTGGTGTCTTCATAACTTTTCTCGGGGCCCTGGTAGCCTTCAAGAGAGGATTCCTTACTCTCCCACGTGTGCGGTGTCGGAGTCGCGTGGGAAAAGAGGCTGGAGTCCCTGCCGCCAGTGGGTGGCTGCCAGGGTCCCGAGTCTCCCTTTGTGACCTGCTTCTGGGGTGGGAGGGGTCACTGTTGTGATCCAGTCTCTCACCCACCCCGTCCCCGGGCAGGCCGGTCTCTTCTGTGCTTCCATGAATGTGGCTGTAAAACCGTGTGTTGACAGTGGATTTGGGCTAGATTATCCCTGGGGATCTTTCCTAAGGGTCTTGGCTTAGAAATGTGTGTTGAACGCTGAGGATGAAAGAGCAGAAGTGTAAATGCACACACTGAAAATCAATTATGTGACTTCCAGGATGATCAAATTACCAATCATGGACTTCATGGTTGGGGCAGTTCTTAATGATGGAACCGGCCGCGCAGACTGCTGTTGCTGACATGAGCTCCCCAGATGAATCACACCCCAGAAACACTGCATGCTTTTCCAATCAGATTTTGTTGTCTTTCAGATCCCATCACATAGGACAGTATGCACCTTAAGATCCTGAAGAAAAGGCGCAGAATGTTCCAGTGATGTTTAGAAATCACTTGTGAGGTAAGAGTGTGATTCTTTACAGAGATGAATACCTGCTGTTTCCTTTCTTGCTGCTGATGTCACTTGCAGGTTACTGAAACGGCCTCGTGCGTGTGTGGGGGATCAGACGCAGCCCAGGGTTCACGATGCCGGGCAGACCTTCCTTCCCCCGTGTCTCTGACTGGCTGAAAGGCGGGGTTGTCTGTGGGGAGCCCATGGTGGCAGTTGCCGGCCAGTGCTGCGGAGCAGGGGACACTCAGGGGAAGGCCTGCTTGTGCCGTGGCCCTGAGCCGAGGTGCCTCGGGGCGCTGCTGCTGCTGTCAACAGGCAGGGCCCTCTGTAACTGCAGCCAAGCTGAGGCTCGGGAGTGTGGACACAGTGCCACTCCGTTGGCTGTTCACTCGGAAGGAGGTGGTGTGACATCTGTGGGATGCTCGGTCACTGCGAGGAGTCGGTGGTGGGCAAGGCCCTCTGCGAAGAGCAAGAGAGGCCCTCACCCAGACCTGTGTGCGCCTCCGCCCTGCGCCTCTGCTACCGCCCCGCCCTGGGCCCCGTGCCTGAGAGGAGGCTGGTGTGAGGGCTGGCCTCCTCCCTCCTGCCCTCTTCCCTGTGCCTCACTGGAGCGCAGGCGTGGCAGCCCAGCAGGGCGGGGACTTTGCTACAGAGCGCTGGGTGTGTCCAGCCCTGCCATCCTGTGCCTGCTGCCTGGGGTCTCAGACACCCTTCCTCTGGACTCCTGGTGGATCTTACTGACCGGGTACCATGGCTCCCCAGCACCACATGTCACCCTCCTGATGGCATTTCCAGGACACCCTGCACAGCAGGGTTCAGTGTCTTGTGATGTTCTTCTTACGAGCACACCTGCCCTTGCCCCCTGTGGAGCCCCCACCCTGCTCTGCTCCCTGGCGGCGGTTCTCACTGGTCCAATCCAGGTCGGTGTGGGCGTCTGTGCCTTGGAAGGCCTGGGTCGTGTTTTTCAGATGGAACCCAGATGAAGCCACAGTGGAGCGAGTGGCTCCATCAAAGGTTTTACCGGCTTAAGGCCTCAGTGCCCTGGGGCCCACCCTGCGACTTACTCGGCACCTCTGGTGGATGTACCTGGAGACTGTTTGAGTCATGAGAAAGGACCGCCTGCTTTTTGTTGCATCTGCCTTTACACAAACACACCCTTACCGTACGCCAGACAGTGCTGCAGGCACAACGGGGACGTGGGAGGGCGGCTGTCGGGGGGGGGGGTGAGGCAGCACAGACAGGCTCCCTGGTAGGAGGTGGGAGCACCCGCAGATGGAGGAGGCAGACCTTCAGGGACATTCTGGGTCCCTGCTAGGATCAGGCTTCCTGGTGGCATTGGCAGAGGCGTTCCAGCCTTCTCCAGATGGTCGTGGCTGGTTTTTGGTCAGCCCTTTCCCAGGTGCTCCTCAGCGGAGAGCTCCCTGCCAGGATGGCTTGGGAGTGGGCTTGTGCCAAGGAAGCAGATCTCGCATGGGTGTTCTCGGGCAGCAGGCAGAGCAGGAAGCGACAGGCTTCAGGAAATGCTCACTGGAAGCTTCCATTTCTTCTGTTTTATTTAACCATTTTTTAAAGCTGTTTTTGTCCGGTTGAAGAGTAGGGCTGTTTACTGACTTTGAAAAGCAATTTCATTTTTCTCTTGTACCAACCAGTCAGTATTTTTGTATCGAGAAGGAATTCTTGAAGTGTTTGGGGTGGGAACTCTCATCCGTGACTGGCGGTTCATTCCTCCAGCCTGTCATGACTGGCCACGTTCCAGTTGCTTTTGGGAACAACCACGTCCCTCCAGGGCTGAGCAGCTGAGCCGTCATGCAGTCGATGACGGGCCTGAGCTCCCGGGCCTCCTTCGCCATCCCTGCTCACCATCAGGGCCACGGTCTCTGCCTGTTGAGGTGCCGAGCAGAGCTCCTGCTCAAGAAAGCGCATCAGCGTCCCCTCCCCTGGGAGGGCCAGGGCAGAATCCGCTCTGTCTCTTCCTTTCTGGGCTCTTCATGCATCACGAGGGCTTCTGCTCTGTGGGCAGACACTGGTGGGACAAGGTTACACGACTCCAGAGCTGCCAGGGCCATTCCCAGGAAGACAGCAGCCTGTCCCTGGTGTCTTTGGGCCCCACGTGTCTTGCAAATCAGATGCCGCGGGAACAAGGGAGAAGGTATTGAGGGGATGCCTGGAGGAGAATGGGTTAATCAACGAAGGGAGCTCCGAGGAGGGCAAGGTAGGGATGGAGCACTCCAGAGGTGAGGGCAGCCTGCGACGAAAGCGTGGTCGCAGGGAAACAGAGGGTCAGACTGAGAAAGCCGGGTGAGGTCCAGGCGCGCGGGTGAGGGTGAGTGAGCTTCATTCCCGGATTCATCCCCTGTCGTCGTGCTTGCTCACACCTGTGCTGGTGTGCTGTGAGGTGAGCTGCTGGCCAGGGCACAGATGAGGCTGGGTGCCCGGGGTCTTTCCCACCCCGCTGGGGAGCCTGGTGCTGTTTCTGCACATCTAGCTGTGCTCTCCAGTGTCTTGGTTTGCACGTGGCCATGGCCAGCAGGTGGCCAGCTCTTGTGTGTAGGCGTAACCTGGTCTGTGGGACTTAACGTGTCCCAGTGAGAAGCATCAGGGAGGCAAGAGATGTGAGCCTTCGGACCCAGCCGGCACAGGCTGTGTTCTTTTCTGTGGTGTGGTTTTAGGCCGAGTTACGAAGTGGCTACGGGCAGACCACAGTGCATCACACTTGAGGTGGTTTGTGAGTGAGCACATGTGTGTGCGTGTGTGCTTGTGTGCGTGTCCCGCATGAGCCTCACTAGCTCTGTGCTGACCCCTTTCCAGACGCGTCAGGGAAACCATGCAGCCATCAGGACACAGGCTCCGGGACGTCGAGCACCATCCTCTGCTGACTGAAAATGACAGTTACGACTCTTCATCGTCCTCTTCTTCTGAGACTGACACGGCCGACAGGGTCTGGTTCATCCGTGATGGCTGTGGCATGATCTGCGCTGTCATGACATGGCTTCTGGTCGTCTATGCAGACTTTGTAGTGACATTTGTCATGCTGCTGCCTTCCAAAGACTTCTGGTACTCTGTGGTCAATGGGGTCCTCTTCAACTGCTTGGCCGTGCTCGCCCTGTCGTCCCACCTGAGGACCATGCTCACCGACCCCGTGAGTATTCGCTGCGGTGCAGGGGCCCATCACATCTGTCTCATGTAGCGCCCTAGACCCTGAGGTGGAGGACCTTGTTCACATAACCCAGGCTTGTATTAATTCCCGGGTCCAGGTTGGTGGCTTTTCTCATGCCTTAATTAGAGGGTAATCATTGCCTAGATAGCAGTGATCTCATGAGGTATTGATGGCAAAGACTTATCCTGTTGGGCTGTTTATTCAAAGGAAGAGATCCTGCTAGCTCAGTTCAGAGATCCCCTTTTGAGCTGAAAGGTTTGTTTCTGCAGGGCATGGGCTGAAGCTGTGAGGCCTGGGCTCTTGATTTTACCACTTCACTGGTCTTTTCAGTTGTCTTCAACTGATTTCACTTCTTTGGGCTAAAGGCTCGACATTTGTCCGAAGCTCTTTCTAGCTCTGTCATTCTCTTGTCACTGCGTCTCAGCTCAGGGCTGAAGCCGGCGTCACATTCAGCTAGGTGGACGGTGCTGGCTCAGCCTGCAGAGGGCGGAAGGTCCCGGCGGCCGGGGTCCCGCGTGAGCTGTGCCTTGAGGGACGCTGTGCACCCTGGGGCCTGGGCCTAGGTGCAGTATGTCGCCGCTGTGTACAAACCAGGTGTGCAGGGCTCACCCCTGGCAGGTCCTCTTGGGCGGAGAGCAGAGGATTGCCCAGAGGCCGCCGAACTGGGCTGCACGTGGGCTAGGACTACTGCTCCGAGTCCGCAACGTCCTCCCTGCTGGGAAGGGCACCGGGGCCAATGTATAGACCCCACAGCTCGGCCGTCAGTCCAGCCTGGGCGTCCAGACCCCAGAGCTCGGGGAGGTGCCCAGGCACAGCAGGCATGTGTGGCCTGGGATTCGCGTGGGCCATAGGGGTTTTCCCTTGCAGGCAGTTCCTGCCACTGCTTTAAAGCAGTGGTTTTAAACACTGGGCTTCAGTGACTTCTGACTTACTCATTTAGAGTCTACTGGGCTCATGTCTGTTTCCAAGCTTTCTCTAAGGTTACCCAGAAGTTGTTTTTATTATAGCTGTGATCAGGACTTTTTTGAGAATAAACTGATACTGACCAGTCTTAGGGGATGTGTCTTCATGTGGGTTGATGTGACTTGCTGTGTCTGAATGTGTTAAGCGGGATTTTGACATGTTATTCACTGTGTCTCCTACTTGACCAGCAGAGGCCTTGGTCAGCCCATCCTCGGGAACAAGACAGTATTTTAAGGTCCAGCTCAGTGGGCAGTTGGGAAATGGTATCCTGGGGACAGACTTGGAGGCCAGTGGCTGTGGCCTGATCCAATTGTGGAGTCTTTGACTATAACCGAGTCTCTTCTCCTCACTTCTTTGACGAAGCAGGAGCCTCCCTCTGGGAGCCAGGCCCTGCTCCTGACCCCGTGGGTCTCGCCCTCCGCCTTCTGCGCCTGCACCGAGCTCCCCGCAGTCAGCACTGTGGAGTGGGACAGCCGTGCTGCAGGGCCAGGCCCAGGCGGTAAGCTCTGCCAGAATGCCACGTGGTAGGGAAGCCCGGTTGTGTGGGCATCCTCCTGGCGGCGAAAACTGGGTTGGACCCGCCCTGCGTGGGCCACGGTGTCGAGGCCGTGCCGCGCCAGCTGCTTGTGAGTGCAGGTGAGGGTGTGTGGCACACGCTCAGCCGAGTGTGTGGATCTGTGGCGCGGTCTCGTGGCGGCGTGAGTGGCGCTTCCCTGACGACTGCTGAGACCTTTGGTGTGTCTCTTTTGGGGGGAGGTCGAGTCGAGTCCTTTGTCCACTTGGATGTCACCACTTCACCGGCGCCACACATGAGGCCTCTGGCGGCAAGTTCCAGAAACTGCCAGGGTCGGTGTAGGTCAGCTGGGGGGGGAGGGGTCTGAGGAGCTCACGAGCAGGGCTGCCTCTGGCCCCTCAGGCTGTGGTGCAACTGTGGGAGCGCTGGGGAGACCGAGGGGAGAGGCTGGCAGCTGCCTTCTGGCCTCCCTGTGCCACGCCCTGGTCCTCCTGCTGCCTGGTGAGGAAGGGCAGCCCACAGGCGGTCACACTGGTCACACTGGTCCCGTTCCGTCAAAGCACATGCTGGGGGAGCCTGCACCCACAGGGCAGAGATCCTTGGCGACAGGGATCTGCTTTCTTCTCCCTGCAGACCTGCCTCCACTCAGCCAGCGTCCCATATGGACTGAACTGGAGCCATCATGCCACCCTGGGTGGGCAGTTGAGGGGCAGGGGGGACCTCAGTGGGACTCCCTGTCACTTCCCTGAGGCAGCAGGATGGGGGTGGCCCTTGCTGCGGTCGGCACGGGTTTGTGCTATCACTTGAGGAAAGCCATAGGGACTCTGTGAGGAGAGGACGGGCCACGGTGCTGGAGGTCGGGGGCTGCTCCTCAGGCCTGAGCCCCTCTGTTCGCGGCTCGCCTGTCTTGACTGAGGGAACCACGAAGCGCGCCCTCGGGAGAAGGCCTGCGGTGACCAAGGGGAAGGGCTACTAGTGATGGAGAAGAGGCTGCCCAGGCCTCGGGGCTCCCCAGACCCTCAGCACATGGGCCACAACAGCCCGTGGGAGCCCAGGGGGTTCTTCCTTCCCTCCTGGACTGGGTGGGCGTGCGCCCCAACCGGAGGCCTCACGGGAAGGGGGAGGCAGTTCTGTCCAGATGGTCTCCAGGGCCCTGCTTTTTCATCGACTTGTGGAAAACATGAAGCGTGTGCACAGTAGGAGGTGCAGGCACTGGTGCTGAGCCCATGTCCACTCGCGGCCATCCTGTGCCAGCGGGGCCCTACCCGTCCCCTCCCCATGATCCGAGTAAATCTCCTACAGCGTTTCCTTTGTCGATGTTTGTGTGTTTCCATGAAAGGTGAGGGATCTTTTTAAAGAGCACCCCCTCAATAGTCCTGTGAAGTCGCTGTTGAATGAGTGTACTGTCCCCGCTCAGGTGAGCCCTCAGTCCCTTTAGCCAGCTGCTTGCCCTCATGCTTTTTGTCTGAATCGGGATCCCACCAGGCATCCTGCAGTGGCTTGGTTTGTGGGTCGCTCTCATCTCGGCGGCCCCTCCGATCTGTCTTCCCTCTGGAGTGTTTGCCAGAGACGTGGCCTTTGGCCCTGAACGGGGGCTGGCAGTCCCGGCCCTGTGTGGGGTCCGCTTGCTCCTCGTCCGTGTTTCCATCAGGCAGCAGGCGGGTCTGGAGGCCTGTCCTTGCCCGCCCTTGGTGGTCACGAGGGAGGAGGCGAAGCAGGAGAGGAAAGGAAGCACGCGGAGCCCCCTGCCCCGGAGGCCTGGGAGGCTGTTCCAGGCGGGAGGTGAGGAGTGAGCAGGACAGGAGGCAGCAGGCAGGCCAGGGGCACTTCCTGAGGGAAGCCCGGGCACTGCGGAGGCAGGGAGGCGGGAGGCGCCTGTGGCCCGGAGCCTGCCAGGGCCCGTGGGGGGACGGGGGAGGAGCTTTCACGAAGACTTTCCGGAAACTGACCGACGTTCAAAGAGGAACTGGGGCTTGAGGCTCAGTTCCTGACGGCTCGCTCTGGTGGAGGGAACATGAGTGCCCGTGGCTGCAGTGCCCGCGGCCTCTCTGATGGCGCAACCACGCAGGGACCTCCCCACTGCCTCGGGAGGCCCAGGGTAAAGTGCAGGGAGGGACTGGGCCTCCAGCGGGTGGGCCTGGAGCCCTGGGAGCCGCGCCCTGGGGGGCTCCGTCACCGGCCTGGGCTTCAATGCTGGGGACCAGAAAGTGCCCGAGATCCTCACGAGCAGCCTCAGGGCCTCAAGAGTCTCTAGGCGTGTGTGTGACTACCTCCCCAGAGGTCTTTTCTCAGTTACAGACCCAAACCACGGTCGGCGTCAGGCGTCTGCTTCCCCGAAGCGGCGTGCCGTGGCAGCATGGCCAGGCCACACTTGCTGGTGCTGGGAGACACAAGGGCTGGGAGCCGACGTCTGGCCTGTTCCTTTTTCCTGGGGCTGTCTGTAACACCTGACTGTCCACCTGTCTATAACACTTGTCTGTAACACCTGATTGGGAGTGCGTGCAGCATTATGGTACTTTATGCAGTTGGAGCAGCATTTAGACTCCAGGATTGTTGGAGGAAAGTTGAAAGTCTCCAGATTGTGGACCGGAAGTCCAATGGTTTCGTTATTCTGATTTAAACCTTGAAAGACAAGAACGCTCACACCTTCCCCTTCTTGAATCTCTTGGAGGAGGAGCTTGCGTGAGGAGGCACTGAGGCCCAGACCAGGACAGCTCCCGGTGCTGGGGTGATGGGTGAGGGAGTCAGCCCGCCCACAGGTGCCTGCGGCTTCCTGAGTCTCTGGGCCTTGCTGCCTGCTGCCGCCTAGGGCTCAGATCTGGCTCCTGGGACCCTGGACCCAATGGACCCCGGTGTCTAGCTTGCACGTGCTAACCAGCTGAACTTTCTAGAACGTGGGTGTCGGCCCTCACCCTGCAGAGGCTCCGACCTGTGGCTCTGCGTTCTGCCCAGCATCTGCACTCTAAGAGCTCCTGGGGGTTCTGCTTGGTGGGATCCCCACAGGCCCGCACCCCCACCTCTGCGGCTCCACGCCCTTTCGCTCCGCCACCCGTCCACCTAGCCCCTCTCCTTGAGCCTTGTCACCGCTGCACCAGGACTGCTGTCCCATTCCCCATGTCCTTGTGGTCTGGTGCTGCAGGCATGTGTGTTTCTGCACGAAGAGCAGGCTCTGGTCTGAGAAACAGGACACGAGGAGCCCCAGGCAGGCCTGCTGGTCTCGCCCCACCCTGCCACGGCCTCCAGGACCCTCCCACAAGCATGTTTCCATGACCGGCTCCTGTCTCTGTCCCACTGCTCTAGCACTTGGGGTGCAGACCAGTGCCCTCTCACAGCTTCCGGCACTGTCTCATGGGGCTACTTCATGCCCAATGCAAGTCGGGTCAGGTTGCCAGGCTGCCATCTCGTCTGTTGAGCACATCTGAGGAAGTTGGCAGAGGGACAGCCATCGTGCCACTTGGACAGTGAAGGAGAATGTCCTTTCAAGATGGCTCTGCTCATTGCTCCCCTCTGCCCTGGTGGATAACTGGCAGTGCCCACCAGGTGAACCCTACCATCAGGAGGGGCAGCAGGGGAATGCGCAGGCAGGAGTACCCAGCCACGAGGACAGTCGGTGCCTGGTGTGGGAGCAAGCCTGGCCCTGAAAACTCAGGGGACTTGGCATTGTATGAGGACGAGGTGCTTAATTTCTCTTTACTTCATGCACATGTTATTTTTTTCTGGCAAATAGAACTTTTGGTCCTGCCTAGGTGACATGGTTATTTTTTCCTGTTTAATAATAGGCTTCGAGGGGCGGCCACAGCATTGTGAGTATTTAACGATACAGAAAACCCAAGATGAATCCCACGCTTAACTTCCCTTAACCCAACTAAAGCACGTTCTTCTTACGTCACAGGGGGCCGTCCCCAAGGGCAATGCCACGAAAGAGTTCATGGAGAGCTTGCAGCTGAAGCCGGGGGAGGTCATCTATAAGTGCCCCAAGTGCTGCTGCATCAAGCCTGAGCGTGCCCACCACTGCAGGTACACACCCCCCCCCGCCAGTTCCCAGGCAGCCCCCTCGGCTGAGCGGCCTTCCCTCCAGGCTGAAGAGCCGAGTGCGGGCCAGCACCAGCGAGGGTCCTGCTGTCCCATGGGGCTGGGAAACAGGACCCACTCAGAACTCCTACTGGGAAGATGTGCTGGGCACCAGCCAGAGGACGGCCGCGGATGCCCGTTTTCGCAGTGTGGCTGCCCCTGGCTGGCCTGGGTATGCCTGGCAGCCTCTGACGTGTCCTGTGTAGGGCCCTCCCCTCCCTTCTGCCCCTGGTTCTCCGAGCAATCCCTGGAGGGGCTGCGTGAGCCCACTTTGTCCTTACCAGGGTGCAGGGCAGTGCCAGGTTCTGTGAACGTGTTCTCTGCACCAGTCGTGATATTAGGAAAACCCCCAGGCTAGTGGTCTTCTGCCCTTGACACTGGCTCACTCGGCCTCCCTGGCCTCCCGCGCTCCCACCCGCCCTGGCTGTGTTTTGTCTGCCTCCCAGCCCTGCTGACCCCCGACTCCTAGGCTATCTGCTTCAGAGGCCGGGCACTGGTTCTATTGTTGAGTGTAACAGTCTGGATGCGTTTCTCCACTCCTTGAAGTAGTCAACACATCCCTGTGCTGTGGAACTGCTGGGTGTAGCTGTATCTGGACAGTGCCTTTCTCCTAGTGGGCCCTGCTGCTTTAGATGAGGCCATCACAGGAGGACACAGGGTAAAAGGTGTGTAGGCTACTTCATGGCTGTCACGAACAATTGTTTTTGCTTTTTTTTTTTTTTTTTGAGTCAGGGTCTCACTCTGTTGCCCAGCTAGAGTGCAGTGGTACCGTCACGGCTCACTGTAGCCCTGACCTCGGGCTCAGGTGATCCTTCCGCTTCAGTCTCCCAGGTAGCTGGACTATAGGTGCATGCCACCATGCTGGCTAATTTTTAAATTTTTTTTGTAGAGAGGGAGTCTTGCTATGTTGCCCACACTGGTCACAGACTCCTGGGCTCAAGCAGTCTTCCTGCCTCAGCCTCCTAAAGAGCTGGGATGATAGACGCTAGCCACTGCGCCCGACTGTAGTGAAGCTTACAGATTCGTATTCACACAGCTTGGCTAGAAGGCAGAAGGAGGGAATGGTGGCGAGCAGATCCACACAGGCTTGGTGGGGCTGAGACTGACTGCAGAGGGCACCAGCTCCTCTCCAGGCCAACTGGGCATAGCTCAAGCTCTGCATGTGAAGCAGAGACCCCAAGTGGTGCAGTTCACTGAGCAAACACTTGCAGCGTCGGAATTACGGTTCAGGATGTCTGTTTAGGAAGGTGCCATGAGGTTGCCCAGGAAGTTAGGTCAGTGGGCATCAGACAGAGGCCACGTCAGTGAACAGCAAGGGATGTGGTGACTGATGTCAGCCAGGAGTCAAGAAATCACTGCTCACTTTTAGCTTGGTGGAGATTTAGCTTGATGTGCTTAAGTGGTACAAGCTATTTTTTTCTCGTTTTTTAATTTTTATTTTTTTGAGTCGGAGTCTGCCTCTCTCACCCAGAATGGAGTACAGTGGTACAATCACTGCCAACACAGTCTCCACCTGCTGGGCTCAGGCCATCCTTCTACCTCAGCTTCCCGAGTAGCTGGGACTACAGGTGCACACCACCATGCTTGGCTAGTTTTTTTAGTTATTGTCCAAAAGTCTCACCATGAAGTCTCACCATGTTGCCCTGACTGCTCGAACTCCTGGGCTCAGGCAGACTTCTAGCCTCAGCCTCCCAACGTCCTGGGATTACAGATGCGACACACCACACCCAGCCTGGTTAGTGCAAGCCTGCTGACAAATGATTGATAGCATAATAGTTATTTAAATTGGACCTTCAGGATATTTTGGGTAAAAGTAAAGCACCTTTTTGGCAGCAGGACAGCTTTACATAGGTACAACCCAAGGTGGGTGTGGGCTGAGCGTGGGGTCACTTAGAGATACCAAGGATTGCCATTTCCCTGAAGGTCAGAGTTCAGCGATTGATTTATTTATTTTTCAAAATAGACTTGTAGCTTGTGAGCTTGCAGAGTTGAGAGCAGTGTCGACAGGTGTGTGTGATCCTGTGAGAAGCGACTTGGTGTGCCCTTGGCCTCAGAGCCTGCTGGTCTCCGGGAGCATTTCCTAGGAGACAAGACCATGGAGTGCTTGGCAGTGGTCACTGGCGGTGTGCCGGGCACACGGGTTGGGGCATGTGGCCTCCCCGGCCTCCCCTTGAGTGCCTGGCTGTGTCAGCATTGACCCTAGAGCCGGACTTTCCTTTCAGTATTTGCAAAAGATGCATCCGGAAGATGGACCACCACTGCCCGTGGGTGAACAACTGTGTGGGAGAGAAGAATCAGAGGTTTTTTGTGCTCTTCACTGTAAGTAAAAACATTTTTGCAGTAACTTGCCTTGACCTTGAAATCCATTAACTAGGCTCTTATCTGGTGCTTACCCTCACACCAGGCGTTTCTCACCAACCTTCGCGCTAGGATTCAAGTTAGGGTACTTTGCCGTCACAAGTGGCCCCATCAGCACGGAGCTGCTGCTTGTCTTACCCCAGGTGTCCCTGTGGCTGGTCTCCCCAGCTGCCGTGAGCCACCCTTGCCAGTGGGCTCTTCCCCATGTGGCTGGAGCTGATTTCCAGTTGTATGTTTTTCTGTAAAATTTTTTTACTTGATCCAGTATGGTCTTGGGTAGTAAGGTGTGCTCTACTGCGATATATTCTTCCCTCGTTATTTTTTTTCCCATGAATGAGATGGAGGTGTCAGCTCAGCGTGTCACCAGCCTTTGCCCCTCTGGAGAGACCCCAGCATTCCATCATTACTGACCACTCTCTCCTCGTCCTAGATGTACATAGCCCTGTCTTCAGTCCACGCACTGATTCTCTGTGGGTTCCAGTTCATCTCCTGTGTCCGAGGGCAGTGGACGGGTAAGCTCCACGAGTGTCTCTCCCGTGAGTGCACACCGGTGGGTGACAGAGAGGGTTTCCAAGGAAGACACATTCTCCAGTTCAGAAGGAAATCCTGGTAGTTATTTTAGGAGTTGATGGAATTTTTTATGAAAAGAATACAGCTCAGTATTTTAACACTGGCATTTTGCTAGTGTGGTTTGTATTTTGCAGATTTTCGAGACTGGAGGGAAAGTGGCATTGCTTCCATCAGACCTTGAGCTGTTTTCTGGTTGGCTCGCCAGAGTTCAGAGTAGTCCTTGGCAGTGCCCAGCCGCTTGAGCCCCAGCAAGTGTAGTTAGAACAGGCATTAGTTGGCCTGCCATCGACATGCAGTCAGGTCCCCAGGTCACCTGCCTCGTGGGTGGATTGTGGGCTCCTGCGAGGACTGTGCACCCACCGGTGTGGCACGCCAAACTCTGGTTGCGCTCTAGCTGCATTTAAGAAGCGATCGACACACAAATGCAGTGTGGCTGGAAACCTCAGGATGCAGTTCTGACACTGCTGGCTAGGACTGCTGGTGTGGATTTGGGCATGAAAGGGCCGCCCTCCTCTGCCTGGAGGACAGGGCCAGTGCCTGCTGACAGGGGAGCACCTGCTCCCCTCAGAGGTGGCCGGGGCTGGCCTGCAGGACTCTGCTCTGAGCCCGACACCCTGTCCCCACAGCTTGGGGTGTTCGTGTGCCTGAATGCCAGCCATCACCAGCTTCCTCTCGTTCACAGAGTGCAGCGACTTCTCACCTCCGATGACTGTCATCCTGTTGATCTTTCTGTGCCTTGAGGGGCTCCTCTTCTTCACCTTCACCGCAGTCATGTTTGGCACCCAGATCCACTCCATATGCAACGATGAGACGGTACGCCTGCGGCACTGCCGGCTCCTGTGGGCAGAGCCAAGTGGGGGAGAGCCTCGCGTCGGCCGCGAGGCTGCACGCGCACCTGGGCAGCAGCTGGGTGTGGGACAGGCATGGGCCGGCTCTGGCCGATGTCCTTCTGTTATGCACAGCGTGCACTTCAAGTGCAGGTTTGATTTGAGAGTCCACAAAGCCAGGCAGGGGAGCCCGGCAGGGGGAGTCAGGTGAATTCCCAGTGTCCTGGCCCGTCCACGAGTTTTGGGGAAGGGCCTGCCGGTGTACCCCGCATGCCAGTCTGGAGTGGGTGCTCGGTGAACACTTACGTACTGTTGTAAGTGGATAAAGGCATGAGGGCCACTGTGCTGTCCCGGCTGGCCGCTCGGGTCTCAGCCACAGCTGCCTGTGCTCACGGAGCCCGTGGGGCCTGGACCCGTGGGAGCCAGGAAGGAGGCCCTCTCTGCCCACGCGGGAGATTCCAAGGCGACGCGTAGCCCTGTCTGCCAAGGCCCCGGAGCTGCCGCCACCTGCTCTTTCTTCTGCTTCCAGGAGATCGAGAGGCTCAAGAGTGAGAAGCCCACGTGGGAGCGGAGGCTGCGCTGGGAGGGGATGAAGTCTGTCTTCGGCGGCCCCCCCTCGCTCCTCTGGATGAACCCATTCGTCGGCTTCCGGTTCCGGCGGCTGCCGGCCAGGGCCCGGAAGGGGGGCCCAGAGTTCTCCGTGTGAGCCCGGCGGGCTGGCGGGCTCGCACAGTTCATGTGGGGTCTGAGGGCGTCGGCAGCTGCTCTGTGACCCACGGGCCACCAGGGCCTGCAGGCCAGCTGCTCGCGGCACTCAGAGTTTATGATTTACAGCCACAGATGCGGGCTTCCGGCGGGAGGGGCCGCAGCCTGGCGCAGGGCAGTGAGGGCGACCAGGGGAGAGGCCGGGTTGCAGCCTTCCTGCGGCGAGGGCTTCTGTTCAGAACACGCTACGTTTTCTGGGAGTGACTGGGCTGTTACACAGGTTAATGCTGCTGTTCCAGTCATGAAGAAACAGTCAATCCAGTGAACACGAGCTCCCGCCCGGATGTTTCAGGGCGTCCCTGAGGTCCGGGATGCTCCCACACCCGCCCGCGATCACAGCGCGTGTGGTATGGAGAGCCGCCCCGGCCTTGGCAGCCCCAGTGCCGTGGCTGAAGCTACAGGAGAGCTGTGCAGGGGAGAGGAAAGGTGGCACGATGCTCCCCCTGCCCAGAGGCAGCCCGCGGCCCCCTCGGCGTCTCTGCGTGTCTGCGTGCGTGCGTGCGTGCGTGCATGTGTGTCAGCACGGCTGTGCTGTGTGGCAATGTCACTGAGCAGCCGTGCAGCAAGCAGGCTGTTGTGTAGAAGCCGATGTTTCAGGGAAGAGGGCGCTGGCGGTCCCGGCTACCATGAATGTACGACCTGTTGGAGCATGGCCTCGGCGCCCTGCTCTCCTCACGGTCAAGGCCTTGGGTGTGTGTGGCCTTGGGACGGATCTCTCTTCATTCTAGCCGAGTCGGCAGTGTGTCCACAGCTCCGGGTGCGAGGGGTGGGGTCAAGCGGTGCCTGGTGCTCTGGGCGGCACCACGCTGCTGGGGGTGGGGGGAGGCGCACCAGCCGTGTGGAGGGGACACCCTGGAGGGTGAGGGGACCTGGGGGGGGTGGCTCTGCCTGGGTGCAGGCAGCATGATGCCGGGAACACCCCCACTTGTGGGGCTTTTGTGAGCGCCTCCGTTTCCTTCTCAGCCCATGGCACGAGTGAGAAGCGGAGCCTCGGCGCGGAGCTTGAGTCATGCCAGGGAGCAAACAGCCCCTCCTCGGGGTCTTGCCTTAAACTTGCCTGGTTTGTACGTTTGTTGCCAGATGCGTCAAGATGCCGCAGTGACGGGGCCGGGGGCCTCCTGAGCCTGCCCCCTTGCCAAGAGACGCCGGCATTTCCCTTGCTGGCGCCGCTGGCCGTTCTGCCCCCGTGGCTGGCGTGTTTTGCTTGCGGTTGCCCTGCACCCTCTCGTGCCAGGGCTTCCCTGCTGCAGAGCCACAAAGGGACCCCGTGGCACCTAGTCCCAGCCGAGTGAACAGACAGGAGGCTCCAGGTGGACGGGCTGAGCTGCTGGGGTGGCCACGTCATGCCAGAGGGACACGTGCCATGGTGTCCAGGAGGCAGGGTCTCCAGAGGTTGTTCCACTGTCCGTTTGCACAGCTGTGGTCGGGGTTGGCGCGCGTGTGTCAGGCTTGAATGTGAGGCTTCGAACATGTATATCCTGTTTATCAGTAAAAATCATTGAAGTGGTTGAGCCTGTGACACTCAGCAAGTGTGAAATCAGGTACACTTGACTTTGCAGCCTCTTCTTTCAATGTAACTTTTATATGAAATAAAACCACTGATGGTTCTCCAACAGCTTTCCAAGTGCCTGTTCTGTGTTGGCAACGGGTGGCCCTTCTGGGGCATAGGGACCCAGCCCTAGCAGTGATGGCCACTGCTCTGCAGCCTCCACGTGACCCGGACCCCGAGGGTGCCCCGCCTGCATGCTCAGCTGGCCCACACTTTACTCCAGTGGGCTAGTGTTGTTATACTTGGCTGTATCCAAAGCAGCCTTGCTGTCATGTTTGTAGTGCATTGTTGAAATATAAAAACAATTTAAAAAAATCTTTCCTACAGTTCAGAATCTCAGGTACCTACAACCTGATTTTGATTCATTCAATAAATGTGTCTAACAATGGGTGGGACCCAAAGTGCCCAACCACCCGGAGGCCAGGTGGGCAGGTCTGCACGCCCAGTGTGCATTGCACACACTGTGCCACGGGCGCCTAGTGGCATTCCAGACAGGCAAAGACAGGATCCCAGGACTTGGAGACACATGCCTGAGCCAGGACACCGGGTAAGTGGCAGCTTGTGGGCTCATTTTTGTGTCTCTGCAGAATTTTGCTGTGGTATTTTTTGTATACCTCTTACCAGGATGTTATGCAGGCTTATAATATATGAGGCCTGATACAACGTGCATAGAGGGGAGTGGTGGGTACACTTAAAGCCCAGACTTATTTGCCAATATACAATGCAACCATGCAACCAAAAACTATTTGTATCCCCCAAAGTTATTGAATAAAAAAAATTTTTAGACACTGAAAAAAAAAAATTATATGAGGCCTGACGGGTTCATGAATTTATCCTAGAAAAAGTGTTCCATTGCTGAGTATCACTATGGTCACCTTTGAAGCCCTCTCCTTGGGAAGTTATGCACTGACGCCAGGGCCTAGTCTACCTGTCAGAGCAGTTTTGGAACTCTTTTTCTGGAATGGCCATCAGAGCTGTCATCGAATTACCCGTGTTGTTCTGAATGTCATCAAAATGTCTTCCTTTCAATATTTCCTTTTTTTGGGGTAAATAAAAAGTTATTGGGGGCCAGATCAGATGAGTAGGGAGCGTATTCCAGTACATTTATTTGTTTGCTGGCTAAAAATACCCTCAGTGCTGCGTGAGTTGGTGCAGTGTCGTGATGCAAGAGCTCCTTCGGGACCATTTTGCACACACCTTTCTCATGCCAAGATTTTCAGTTAAGACTGTTCTGTTTCTCTGCTGATGTTTATTGGGTCTGCTATGCTTCTCATGGTCAGCCAACGTGACGCACAATTCAACAAATCTTTGCAATGATTTCATCAGTTCTGCTTGTTACTGGCCATCCTGACCTGTCTTCATCAGTGACACTCTTTGCCCTCAGAAAAACATCTAATCCATTTGTACACAGCCATTTTCCTTATGGCATTATCTTCATAGACTCGGACTAACGTGTCCCTGATTTCACTTCCACTCTTGCCAAGTTTAACAAGAAACTTAATATCCATTCGTTGCTCTAATTCAAGCTCCGACATTCTCACAATGGCACACAAAAGCATGCGGCGACACTAACGAACACCACTCAGAACTGCCACACGTTGACACGAACACAGCTGTGAGACACGGATATACCAAGGTGACGAAACCTCACTGACTTGTTTGTACGGTGCTGTCGATGTAGGCGCATGATGGCAAGTTCAAGAACTTAATTAACCTCGCAGAAGTATATTTGCATTAAAATGTAAACAAGGCCCAGCACAGCGGCTCATGCGTGCCATCGCAGCGCTTTGGGAGGCCGAATCTGGAGGATCACTTGAGCCCAGGAGTTCAAGACCAGCCTGGGCAACAGAGCAGGACACTGTCTCTACAAAATTAAAAAAAAAAAATCCAGTGGTGGCGGCGTCTATAGTCTCAGCTACTCGGGAGGCTGGAGCCGGAGGATCGCCTGAGCCCCGGAGCCGTGATCATGCCACCACAGTCCAATATTAATAATGTGAGAAGCTGGCTGTAGAGTGGGGGCTTCCCCACCGTCCAGAGGCTCAGAGCCCACCGGGCCCCAGAGCTGCTGCCTAATGGATTCACACACTTTGCCCGGGTGGCCCCTCAAGCCCCTCAGGAGGGAGGTTGAGGTTGGCCCTCGGCATGCATCCACACAGTGGCCACCAGAGGGCGCCACACAGCGGCAGGTGCCCACACACTGCCCGGACCCCAGGCCAGAATCCTTACCTGTGTTCTGCAGGACCCCACCCCTATTTGTGGAACACCTACTACGTGCCAGAAGGGCCTTGGCCCTGAGCAGCCACCAAGACGAGCCATTAGACATAGAGGTGTTCACAGGGGTCCCTGAGAGAGCAGGAGGGGCGCATTGGGTGGACCTCATGGAAGAGGAGGAATCAGGAAGGGCCCCTGGGGTACGGAGGAGCTGCAGCACCAGCACGTGCAAAGGCCCTGGGCCAGGTGAGGACGGGGCGGCGGGCAGCGCCCTGCGGGTGGTGGGTTTTCGCAGCCAGCCTGGGGCTGGAGCGGGTTGAACCTGCAGGGGAGGAGGCTGGGCCACCGGGGCTGCAAGGTCCATCTGCTCAGTCTGCTGGGCCAGGGAGGGGCTGAGGGCTTGAGGACCCTGGGCTCGGAGGGACAGAGACGCACCCAAACCAGATTTCCTGAAGGAGGGACTGCCATCCTCGTGCCGGGAGCCAGGCGACAAGCCTGAGAGCAGGATGGGGATGGTCCCTCACCTAGAGTGGGAACCTGGGGTGGCAGGAACAGGGCGGGTGCGCGGGCCGTGGACTGCACAGGGCCTTTCTCGGGCTCTGCCTGGAGGGGGCCCAGCCACACGGAGGTCTCCCTGTCTGCAGCTCCTGGCTCTCACCCCTGGGGGTACCCCTGGAGGGCTTGAGCTGGGCCCGGGACGGAGCAGCACTTGCTGGGCTTCTGCTTGATGTGACCGGGCAAAGCCTGGTGAGTGGCCCCCCAAGCCCGGCCAGGAGCAGTCGCAAGAGTCCCCGCCCCCACGCCGAGTTCTGGTGTGATGGGGGGTCTGGGAGGCTCCCTCCCCAGCCTCCCTCTTTCCGCCCAGCTTCTCATTCCCCACCTCTGGTGAAGGCACCTGGTCCGAGCTGCTGTCCGTCACTACACCTCAGTGTGACAGCCCCCTGCTCCCAGGACAGGCTCTCAGGGCATGTCCTTACCCTTCCCCCACTCAGAAGTGCAGCTGGCAGAGCCCAGCCACCCATGTTTTAACAGCACGCTCCACGAGGAAGCACAGGATTGAGAAGTGAGGGGCCTCCCTCAGAGACGGGACAGGCCTTCTCTGCCCAGCATGGCCAGAAGCCACCATGCCCGCCGTCCACCTGCTGTCGATCCAGCACCAGGCCCAACGGCCTGAGACCCAG